ATATACTTACATTAGTATTTATAATTATATATATATATATATATATATATGTAAACCAAAGAATGTATCACACCTTGATTGCTAACTGAAATTCTTTCTTACATTAACATCAACTACAACCAATATAAATAAAAGGTACAGAAAGCTAACACCTGAGTGGAGAAAACACCCTTCAAATACATCTGTAAGAAAAATATAATAATAATCTTATCCTGACGAGTGTGTATTATGAATAACAATTGTCGTACGTTGTAAGAATAAATGATGAATATTGCATGTCTTATACAGACAAAATAGATGATGAATATTGCGTGTCTTATACAGACAAAATAAATGATGAATATTGCGTGTCCATCATTTATTTTGTCTGTATAAGACATGCAATATTCATCATTTATTTTGTCTGTATAATATAAGACATGCAATATTCGTCTGGTATAAGACATGCAATATTCATCATTTATTTATCATTTATTTTGTCTTATAAGACATGCAATATTCCTGTATAAGACATGCAATATTCATCATTTATTTTGTCTGGTATAAGACATGCAATATTCATCATTTATTTAGACAAAATAGATGACGAATATTGCATGTCTTATACAGACAAAATAGATGACGAATATTGCATGTCTTATACAGACAAAATAAATGATGAATATTGCATGTCTTATACAGACAAAATAAATGATGAATATTGCATGTCTTATACAGACAAAATAAATGATGAATATTGCATGTCTTATACGGACAAAATAGGTGATGAATATCGAATCTGCGACTCTTTTATTTTCAGAGAATAGATATTGTGTTTCGACTGTCTTACTTAACAGAATGGATTGTTGTGCTGAAGCTGTCTTACTGTGATAGAATAGATGTTCTATACATATAACGACTGTCTAATCTTGATATCAATAGATTTTCTATACATATAACGACTGTCTTACCTTGATATCAATAGATGTTCTATATATATAACTACTATTTTACCTTTATAGAATAGATGTTCTATTCAAATAACGACTACCTTACCTTGATAGAATATATGTTCTATACATATAACGACTACCTTACCTTGATAGAAAATAAGTTATATACATATAACGACTGTCTTACCTTGACAGAATATAAGTTATATACATATAACGACTGTCTTACCTTGACAGAATATAAGTTATATACATATAACGACTGTCTTACCTTGATATCAATAGATGTTCTCTATATATAACTACTATTTTACCTTGATAGAATAGATGTTCTATACATATAACGACTGTCTTACCTTTATAGAATAGATGTTCTATACATATAATTCCTGTCTTATCTTGATATCAATAGATGTTCTATATATATAACTACTATTTGACCTTGATAGAATAGATGTTCTATACAAATAACGACTGTCTTACCTTTATAGAATAGATGTTCTATATATATAACGACTGTCTTACCTTTATAGAATAGATGTTCTATATATATAACGACTGTCTTACCTCAAAGAGAATACTTAAATGGACAGCGATATTTCGTGATTACTGACAATGTATAAGAAAGATTATGAAATATCGACTCTTAAACCGTTATTGACTGTAATAATAATAAAATGTTACCTTAACGGTAATGGTTCCGCGATCCGAGATGTCCCATTCATTGTCGTTTAGTTGCTCCTTTGTTTTCTCACTGATGTGTATCTTTAAGGCCTGGAAAGTTAAAATGTAACAAATCAGAGCCAGAAAAACGTATGTTACTGTAGGAGCTGTAAGATTGACTGTCATAAGATATATATAAAATACTTATTTTTGGTTTGAACAAAAAACATGTGCATGTATTGACATTACAGTTATTGTATATGGGAATTGTAGAGCTGGACCTTCTTTTGAGCTAGACATGCTTCTGTTTTTGATGGATGATGCTTTTGGGTTTTATAATAAGAATATAAAAGTAGTTCCTATCTTACAATATGGCTGTCCATAATGACAACCCTACCATACGGCTGCCCATAATACACGGCTTTGTTTCACTAGTTAACTTTTTATTGTTCTATACTAAGTTATTTAGGAAGAGCAATATAGCTACTTATCATGCACGGCTTCGTTTCATTAGTTGACTTTATGGTTCTATACTAAGCTATTCAGGAAGAGCAATATAGCTGCTTATAATGCACAGCTTCGTTTCATTAGTTGACTTTATGGTTCTATACTAAGTTATTCAGGAAGAGCAATAGAGCTGCTTATAATGCCCAGTTTTGTTTCACTAGTTGATTTTCTGTTTGTATACTAAACTGTTTAGAAAGAACATAAGAGAAACGCCAACCCTGCAGTGTAACTGTCTATAATGCACGGTTGTGTATCACTGGCCGACTTTATTGTTGTATACTAAGCTGTTTATAAAGAACATAAGAGAAACGCTAACCCTGCAGTGTAGCTGTCTATGATGCACAGTTATGTTTCACTGGCTGACTTTCTGGTTGTATACTAAGCTGTTTATGAAGAACATAAGAGAAACGCCAACCCCGCAGTGTAGCTGTCTACAATGTATTGAATAATTTTAAAGAAACAAGTTCAGAATACGTAAGTTTAGTATGTAAAGTAAGGACCGCAACATTTTGACGAATTATAATCTGCAAATGGGTGTGAAACAAAGCTTTTAAAATAGACTTTTAACAGTTTCTTCACAATTTAGACGAATAGATACTTTCAGATATAATGTGGTAAGTGTTTCTAAGGCCCGCCCACACAGCCCGTTTCCAGTTGACCCGACTCGTCTCAACTGATCTCAACTAATTATGTTCAGTCTGGATGAATCTGAGCGGTGTACGTGTTCCTACGACTACGATTATCCAGATTTCAGTCGGAGTGCACTATTCTTTGATGATTGATCATGATGAATATTTCAATGACGCAGTCTGGTAAAAATGTAGCCAGTCTGTATGTGAACGCCTGTTGTTGACCAAGGCTGACTGAGACTGACCAGTCGTGTCAACAAGCGCTGTAGCGTGTTTGGGTAATGTGAATTGTCACGTGACTTAATAATTAAAGGAAGTATCCTGTTATGTAAAACTCTTGTTGTTGTTGGATATACAGAGTATATTATTTATGGTTACAAAGTTTCAACAGGTAAACCCGGCATCATCAACAACTACAAAAAGTGAACTCGTGATATAGATAAGTGTATTCCTTGTAGTTGTTGTACCTGATGATGCCGGGTTTACCTGGTGGAACTTTGTAACCATAAATATTATACTCTGTATATCCGACAATAAACAAGTTTTAAATGTTAAGTGACTTGTCTTCAAGATGGCAGAATTATGGACAAAAGAATGCAAGGTTGACTCGTTGAAATGTGGACCAATAACACAGGCCTGCGATGGTTTTATTGTTAACACAGGCCTGCGATGGTTTTATTATCTTGACATTTTACATGTTCTATAGTAATTCCTGTACGCTGAACCCAAAAATGATATCCATTTTTCTCCATCATGTATATATTTCTCACAAAACATCATATGTTCTTTTACGTAAGTGAATCATTTTCATTGAAATCGGGTCACATTTTGTTATGTTTAAAAATGTTGATAACCATTGGCTGTAAGTTTCTCTATCGCGCCGTGAGGGTCACATTTTGTTAAGCTTAAAATGTTGATAACCATTGACTGTAGGTTTCTCTATCGCGACGTGAGGGTCACATTTTGTTAGGCTTAAAATGTTGATAATCATTGGCTGTAGGTTTCTCTATCGCGACGTGAGGGTCACATTTTGTTAAGCTTAAAATGTTGATAACCATTGGCTGTAGGTTTATCTATCGCGACGTGAGGGTCACATTTTGTTATGCTTAAAATGTTGATAACCATTGGCTGTAGGTTTCTCTATCGCGACGTGGGGGTCACATTTTGTTGTGCTTAAAATGTTGAAAACCATTGGCTGTAGGTTTCTCTATCGCGACGTGGGGGGTCACATTTTGTTGTGCTTAAAATGTTGATAACCATTGGCTGTAGGTTTCTCTATCGCGACGTGAGTTTTAACATTTTGTTGTGCTTAAAATGTTGATAACCATTGGCTGTAGGGTTCTCTATCGCGACGTGAGTTTTAACATTTTGTTGTGC